TGGGTCCGCTGAACCAACTAGCGTGCCCTTGCTCCGGTTACACGCCAACTATAGCCAAACGCGCTACTTACTGTGTTTCCTCACTCCTGGTTGTTCTCTACCGCTGAGTTATGCTACGGGATCTTGGTATCGAGGACAAAGGTGCAGAAACAGTTGCATGCTGCTGAAGCTGTGGGCCTATTCACCTTTCACATGGACAGGACCGCCCTCGGGAGTGAGTTCACAGCTGTCTTTAACTAGCACAACACCAGTATTCAAGCTCGCCACTTTCGATTTCACGTCGTGAAATGTGCCCGTGAACGGAATGGAAGGGGACAACGTGCATAAGAGAAGCTTTGCATACAGCAGTTACGGCACAAACAAAGTCTACGACTGGAAATCTTCGCGAGCTTCTGTTCACCGACTAGAAAACCAGTTGGAAACCTTTTATACTCTGGCTTCTGACATACCTGCTTCCAAAACGGTGACGGTTCACTAAATGATATGCTGCATACATCACCGCAAGCGTATACGTCAGGAATAGATGTACGCATCACATCATCGACAACTATTCCTCCATCAGCATGAGAAATTTGCAGCTAAAAAATAAACTTGAACAAAACGGAATGAAACAGTGGGTTATCCGAGATTTTTCTGTTATCCCGACACTGCTTTCTCAAATATGCCACCAACATTGAATAAAATGTGGAAAGAAGTCTATCCTCAACGAAAAGTGAAGGCTATGCTCCTCAAAACTGGTCTATCCAATTCTGAGCAGCATGTGCATAGAATTGAAGTAATTTTTCATAAACTCCGAGAACGCCTCGAAAAAGTAAGTTAGCGAATCACCCATAAACAGCAATGGTTGGGTATCGACGTTGTTACCGTACGACAAATGCCGTTTTAACGACCGCAGTGGAGCGCCTGTCCGAAGTTATCACGGGCCCCAGTGGTGAGTTAGGGTCGGAAAGCCAGACACCAGACGGCGACTCAAACCCGCATCCCCTGACAACCGGGCGTTGACCTACTAGGCTGCGCTTATACATTGCTAGCGCTTCCAGCGTTTCACTAGAGTTTCGCTAGCGTTTGCAGCGCGCAGCTAGGAGAGTATAGAAGGGAGAGTACAAAGATAACTCTCCTACGCCTAAGAAAGTATAGGAGATGTAGGGAGGCGAAAATGCAACTCCTACGCTGGAGCAGTATAGAAGAGTAGGAAGGAGTATTTTGGTACTCTCTCTTTCTCTACTCTCTAGCCCCGCCGCTGCAAACGCTAGCGAAACGCTAGTGAAACGCTGGAAGCGCTGCGCTACGCTACGCTGCCGCAAAGTATAAACGCAGCCTTACGCTACCGGAGCCGATCTTACCTTCTAAGCTCAACGGCTTTTTTTGAGTATGCGAGTCCCGTCTGAATTCTGGCTTTTGCCCATAACTCAGCACTCCTGGGATGTTTGCGATTATTCAAACCAGAGCTCCATTTTGGTTTTGGCAACAGTTACTTCCTGGATCGACTCACTTCATCGCAGTTATCCGTCCATATGCTCGTAGCTGGAACAACGCCAGTAGCCCATATTACAAAGTCACACTGGACCTCAGTTCCATTGCTTAAGGACAATTTCAACCCATTCTCGACATCGGTTACCGCTTGAACTTCCACATTGCGAACAATGTTCACAGAGCGTCCCTAAAAGTAACAGATGAAAAGACCGTAATATCTGAACACGGGCCACTTTTTACCAAAAAATATTACTGTTCATCGTTTCTGTTATACAAAGAGAGTCGGCAGAACTCAAAAGTACAGCATTTAGTGGCGCAGCAGAATGGGAAGCATTATCCACACTTTGCATTCTAGTCCTGATACTTGAGTATCGCACATGGCTCGCGCAGTGATCACAATAACCACGGTAGCGACTGCTGTAGAAAATGAGAAAAGCGTTCATGAATAGAGGAATATCCACTAAAACTTGAATGGAGGGCCAATTATGCGCCAGCAGACACTCGAATTTCGAAGCAGCTTTGCAGTTTTTCTATGCAGTTGATATCGTCGCAATCGGTAAGGCGATTTCAAGAGGGACAGAGTAAGCCCACCGGCTGTGTTTCCTTCACTAGTTGTTTTCATCCTGAATCAGTAACTGACCGATCACTATTGGAGAGCAGAACAGTCGGACGAAAGCTTATTCCGCCCCGCCCAACCCCCCTCCGACTGACTGCGACGTTACCAACAATAGCCCCACCGAAGCACTCCACTCAGAATTGTGACCGTACTTTGAAAGCGATGCCTATGCAATGACTCGCAGGGCCAGCCGATGTACGAGTCAGCGTGTTACCCTCTTAGAAGGTAGAAAGGTCGTGCCCTTCCCGAGCAGTGCACATGGTAAGCGGTGCCAACGCAGCCAATCACCAGAAGAAGATGCTTTCTATAGTCGTCACGACAACGGCGTTTAAAGAAAATTAATCCAGAAAAAGAAGTACCAATGCGATTAACATACCTCGGAGTCACTCTCGAATGAAAGAGATGAAATCCAATCAGGACCAAGGGCACAGCCAGTAACCTTTTGTGCAGCACCTTTTTCACCTAGGTCGTCAAGACAATATCGCGGGCGTTTT